AATTTTTAAAAATTTTTTTTTTTTTTTTTTTTTTGGTGAAGGGTAGTATCTGCCACCATTAATGCATTTAATTTGGGACTCTGGGCTTATAAAATGACCATCAGTTTTGATTTTCACTTTGCTAGTTTGGAACTAGCTCTTTTATTTAAAAAAAAAAATTTTATATCCAAAATGTGTTTATTGGGATGGTTTCTCACTCATTGTAGATTCAGGGTACTTTCAGTGCTGCTTCCTCTTGAAGGAACATCCTTCTGTGAGCCATGCTTTTCTGCCCGTAGGCTGACAGAGGGCAGTGGAGCACCCAACACATAAGACTACTGTTTGTGCATGGCTAAAGACCATGGTGATTGTTAGATTTAGGAGAGCAGAAAAAGGAAGGAGTTTAAAGTTTAGAAATAAGAACCAGTTAGCTCTTTTATTTTTAAAAATTTAAAATTTTTTATGTGTATGAGTGTTGCCCACATGTAAGTGCACCATGTGCATGCAATGTCCGAGGGGTCCAGAAGAGGGTGTAGAATCTCTTGGAATGGGAGTTGTGGATGGTGGTTAGCTGCCATGTGGGTGCTGAGAACCAAACCCAGGTCTTCTTAACCACTGAGCATCACTCAAGCCCTGGAACTAGTTCTTGAACAACTCATACTCGCTTTCAATACAGAAAACAATTTTAAACACTCATTAAAATAAGTGTAAACATTCACATATTTAATAGTACCTTTAAAATAAGCATTACTACATTTAAAATGGTTCTAAAAATGAATCTATAAATGGTAATATAAATTAAAAAATATGAACTTAAATTTAACATTAACTATGGTATAAATAATGGTCAATGTGTATGTACCTTTGAATCATTAAAATATTTAAAAAATGACAACACATTACCAGACTGTTAGAAACCATAGCCATGATCCTCAAACATTTAAACAGTCCTATATCTGATATTTTGGCATTCTTGAATAATTAATGCTATCATTTCCAGAATTATATCCAAGTTCTCTCTTTCAATAGATCTTGTTTTCACACTCTGTTGAATACATGGCTCTTTTCTAATGAATAAAACAAGTGCATTTATTTTAGAGATCCATTTTGCGAAGGCTCATTCGACTGAAGGAATCTCTGGAAAAAAAAAAGAGGATACAGTTAGAACAACTTTGAAGCCAGGGTGTTACTATGAAGTTCTGGCTGGCCTGGCATTTACTATATAGAGCAGGCTGGCCTTGAATACACAGATCTGCCTGGCTCTGCTTCCAGAACGCTGGGATTAGAGGCAATACACAATTTTTTTTTTTTGCATATACCTTTGAGATGTTTATTTTTGGCTGGGTGTGGTGGTGCACACCTTTGATGATCCCACCACTTGGGAGGCAGAGACAGGTGAATCTGAGTTCAAGGTCAGCTGGGGCTACGGGGATACCCTGTCTCTAAATGACCAAAAAAATCCTAGCAATCAAACGGACTCAGATCCATTTTGCACTCTTGAACAAAATTATTGATGGCCACAAAATCCCTTCTTAGTATTTACCATATTAGAAATCAAGATGGAAAAATTTTGTTTTACATAGTCACCAATTATGTTACTATAAGTAGCATTTAAAAATAATATGCAAGAAACTTTAGAGGAGTAGCACACATATTTAATATCTAGCTTATTAGCAGATCTGAATTCTCATATATCTGCTTTTATATCCAATTATTCATCATATCATATCTCATCCAGTCTCTGGCAAACTCCACTACTCATGAGGGAGAGGATGGATAAAGCCCAGGTTTCAGATCACATTTTGAGAAACCCTATTGTAAGACCTTTAAGGCTAACCACGAAATAACATTCCACTTTATAAATCAAAATTTGAAACATTCTAAGATGTGGGGAGCTGGAGAGATGGCTAAGTGGTTAAGAGCACTGACTGCTCTTGCGGAGAACCCAGGCTTGGTTCCCAGCACTCAAATGGTGGCTAACAACTGTTAGTAACTCCAGCTCCAGGGGATCCATTGCCTCCTCAGACATTGCATGACATGGGTGCACTTACATACATGCGGGCAAAATACGCATACCATAAAATATATCTTTTAAAGAATTTTATCTTCTAAATTCTGAAGACAAGGATTTTGTTCATGAAACAACTTTAAACCATGAGACAACCACAGGAAAGATGGAGGCAGATGAAAATGATTTTCAGTGTTGAAAGGAGTTTTGAAAGCAGATGACTATTCATCCAGAAAAGGTTTTCTTTTGGGGAGAGGCGGGGATAGGGATGGGATGTAGGCACCAAAACCCTGAGTTCAGTCCTTAGCATCACAAAAATCTAGGTGGGGTGGCACACCCTTCAAATTGCAGCACTTGGGAGGTGAAGGCAGGAGGATTAGAAGTTACAGGCCATCTCCCACTACGTATCAAGTTCAAGGCCAGCCTGGGCTATAGGCAACCCTGTCTCAAAAAGAAAATACAGTTTTCTTTCTTTTTTTTTTTTTTTAAAGGTTTTCTAGATCTAGACATATTGCATGCCTATAATCCCAGCTCTCTCTGGAGGCAGATGCAGGAAAATGGTGAGCTGAAGGTCAACCTGGCTTAAAAATACTCCACTCCTACTCCCAGCAAACCTCTCCCACAAAATCAAAAAAGTGCTTCTAAATTCCTAAAACTTAGAAGCAAAATACTAAGACTTGAAGCTTAGAGGACTGTCCATAAAAGAGATGACAGAGAAAGGCAAAACTCAGGATATAGTGTAAGGAAAATTTCCTTCATATAGGAAGCACTGCCTTTCCATGGTAAAGGAGCTGGAGACAGCAGAAGGAACTGGGACTAGAGTTTGCCAACTGCATGACTTGGGGAGTCTATGGCTTCACCATCCTCTGGAACCTGCTGGGTATGACTGGTGGAGAAGCGTGTAGACAGCCAGCAGTAAGAGATTTCAGAAAGACTAAAGGAACAACCAAAAGAAGTGATGGTTTGTCCATTGGGAACTCAGAGGAGCCTTCCCTGGAGGTATCTCACATCAGTGCAGGATGGTGGAAGCATATATTTTGCCATAGAAAGATTTAAGAAGTTCTCTGGGCTCCCTCAGTTCCTGTAGCTGGTGGAGGAAATTCAGATGATTTGTCTGCTCTTTGGGGAATGTGACATAAAGACGGCTCTTGGGAGACTGTTTAAAGGCAGTACATCCCCAAGTAAGCAGCCCTGACTCTCCTTGCAACCTGCCTCAGCCTCCCCAGTGCTGACAGGTGTGCAGGGTGGACACTTTGAATGTATCAATTTTTTCACACATCTAGAAATTGAAAAACAGATGACAGAGGAACAAGGGCTATGTTTCTGGGTGACAAAACAGCCAGCTTTTTTAGCATGACATCTGTATCTGCATTCAAACTTTAATGGTTTCTTAAATGTTAATTTATCAAATACAACCTCACTGGCTTACTAATTTATTATTTCAAAGAACAGAGTAGTAAAATATCAGTGCCAGAATAATCCAATAGTTGGGTATAAATTTGATCTCAAAATGTGAAAAAAGGGTAGACTGTAGCAGTTTTTGTGCTCTCTCTAGAATTAAGGTGCTATAAAGTAAAATACCATGCACTATGATAGCCCCTTTATATCTACAATACCACCCAGACCACAGCCTCTTAAAAGTAACTGTTATTACATAGAAGAGAAATCTAAAAATGTGTAAACTGCTGCTCAAGTGGAACTAGGATTCAGTTGTAGACAACTCCCAAGTTCCCATTTCTAACTTGTCAAAACTTACAAAGTAGAGAAAACTGAATCCTTTTTGATAATTGTCAGTGAGGTTACTTGCTTTAAGCTATGTGTAGGATAGGTCCACTGTCTTCTGTTCATGCCTTGCTTACAACCCATTCTTAGTGAATTCTCCCACAAAAACAACAGGACTTTAAAAAAAATAGGCTTACGAGGTCAGACCTATGAGCCTACGAGTGCTGTCCCAATTAGTATGCATTCAACAATTATACGATTTTCAAACTATAGGAAATGTTGACTTTTATCTTTTAGAACAAAGGCTTCTTGAACTTGTCAGGTTTCAGGGGGCACAACATCTGAAACCATATAATAAAAAGTTATCTTAATTCACTATCAAAATAATTCATACTTTTTCTAAAAAGCTCTAAAATAAGAGGAAAAACTAAGCATACCTGTGGCAAGTGACAGGTAATACTGCCTTGTATAACTGAGGGATCTTTCTGTTTATCAGTGGCTGTAGAGCTTCTTTAAGGCGATGATAGTTTCTCTCCAGTTCTCTTTGATACTCCTTTTGATCTGGTCCAATTAAACTCTTATTTTTTCTTAAGGCATCTTCACACCTAGAGAGGGGGAAAACATGTCTAGAATTTTTTTCTGGCAATTTGTAGATTTAATCAATCTCTTTCCATGGTGAGAACATTCACTGTTTCTGCTGAATGTTAAATAAACCTCTTTTGTTTTAGGTTAAAGGTAGTGCTGTAGTTTGGATATAATATGGCCCCACAGGCTTCATGTTTTGAAGGCTTTGTCCTCAGCTGGTGTTGAGAGGTGACTTGACTGTCAAGGTGCTAACGTCATCAATGGTTACTAGGAGGGTGGCCTGGCAGGAGGAAGCTGGTCACTGGGGGTATGCTTCTGAAGGTTTATCTTATCATAATCTGTTCCCCCTCTCTCTGCTTCCTGATTGCTATGAGGTAAGCTATTTTGCTGCACCACACTCTCTATACCCATGACATTTTGCTTTACCACACACTGGCAGTGAAACCAAGTGACCATGGACTGAATCCTCTGAACCCGAGCCAAAATAAAATCCTATTTAAAAAAATTATTTATTTAATGTGTATGAGTGCTATGCCTGCATGTATGTAAGTGCACCCATACCATTCAATGCCTGTAGAGGCCAGAAGAGGACATCAAATGCTCTGGAACTAATTATGGATGGTTGTTAGCCTCCATGTGGGTGCTGAACCCGGGTCCTCCGCAAGAGCAGCTAGTACTCTTAATGGCTGAGCCATCTCTCCAGCCCCAAATCTTTCCTTCTTTAAGTTCTTTTTCTCATGTATTTTGTCACAGCAATGAAAAGTTGACTAACAGGCAGGGGACAGATTATGTTTCTTTAAATATGTTTCTTTAAATCTGATAAACGGTATTCATTAAGTGGGAAATAATACATTTTATTTTTATTAAATTAATCGGTTGGTTTTGAGATAGAGTCTTGTGTAGCCTAGGCTGCCTTGGAACTTGTGATTCTTCTGCCTTAGCTTCCTAAGAGCTGGGACGTATGTGCCGGTTGCCAGGCTTTCACAGTGCTAGGGCAACAAACGAGGCAAGAGTGCTACTACTGATGATGAAATCAAGTTTTAAAAGACAAACCCCAAATTAAAACAAGCACATGGAAAATTAAAAACATACTGAAGTATTAAAATTGATCAACTGAAGACATTTTTATAGGTTACATAATAAAGCAAAGGGTACTGAGACTAGCATACTTGCATTCTTGGCATTATTAATACTGAGAGATAGCTGAGGATGTACACTATATTAAGAGTCAGTAAAAATGTGCATGAACTTTTTTTTTGGGGAGGAGGGGACAGGGTTTCCCTAGTCCCAGTACCTGGAAGTCACTATGTGGATCAGGCTGGCCTTGATCTCACAGAGATCTGCCTGCCTCTGTCTCCTGAGGACGGGGATTAAAGTACATGTTCATGTACTTTGGCTCAGTAATTTCATGGTGGAAATTTTAGTAAGAAAGACTATGATATAAACTATACCATATTCAAATTCAAACTTGAAAAAAAATAGAAGACAGAAAAGTAAATTAATTTGATAAAATAATGTAATAGAATAATGGCATAACTAAAGAATAGGAATTTAAGATTATATGCACACTATGATCAATGATAAAAATGTATATTGGCATAAAGACATACGATTAACAGAAAAATAAAAATGGAATATTAACCCCCCCCTTCTCTTCCATCCTTGCTTTTTCTTTCTCTGAGACAGGTTTCATTCTGAAGGGCAGGTGGGCTAGATCTTACTGTGCATCTCAGGCTGATCTCAAACTCACAGCCATTCTGTCTCAGTCTCCAAGTGAGATGACAAGTGTGTACTACCACACCAGCTATGTAACTTTGTAAGGTTTATATTATGAAGCATTTGGCCTTTTTTGTAATTTTACAGGAGAAAACTCTACCAACAATAATATTCAGGAGACCTGTTGACTATAGGAGTTTATTACTCTGAAGTATGCATAGGCAGGGATGTAGCCTTGTATGTGTGAGATCCTGTGTTTTATCCTGAGCAACAAAAAATAAAAAGAGGTAAGTATATACAAAAAGATATTTGTTTAAAATGGCAGTTGTTATAAAATATATAAAATACTCTAAAACAGCAAGCAGAAAGGAACCCAAGTATCTATGTCCAAATGTCTCTGACCTAATGAAGCTCCATGATCACCTGTTCCATGATCACCTGCATCCCAAAGATAACAGGATTTATTTTGTTGTTTGAAACCTCCCAAATACAAAATTAATGCTAGAAATCAGTCAATTCCATAAGTACCACAGGTTAGGAAACAACAGCATGAAAGAATAGCCTAAAGAATGGGCAAAAAAATATATGCAAAGTACATATCTGATATGGGGTTAATACCCAGGGTATGTAAAGAACTCTGCAAAAATTTCAAAGTAGACAATAGCCAGATATTTCTCTCAAAAGATAAGCAAATGGATAATACACAAAAATGTTCAACAGTACTAATCATTACAAAAAATGCAAATCAAAACTACCTCACTCCAGTTAGACTGGCTATTATAAAAAAGACATTAGATAATAAATGCTGGTGAGAATGTGCAAAAATGGGGGCCCTTGCACGTTGTTGGTTAGTGTACCCATTATAGAAAATAGTATCATAGTTCCTCAAACAAAAAAGAAGAGGAGGAAGAAGGAGAAGAAAGAACGAACAAAAGACCCAGCAACCCCACAACCAGGTACATACCACAAGAAATGAAATCAGCCTGGCCTGTCATGTCAAAGAGAAATCTGCATGCCCTGGTTCACTGCAGTATGATTCACAATAGCCAAGAAATGGGAACAAATTAAACATCTATCAACTGATGAATGGGGCTGGCAGGGGTGGGAGAGAGATGAGAAAGGGTAGAGCATGACACTAATCAGAATGCATCACTATATATATATATATGTATATATATATGTATATGTATATATATGAGAAACCATCAAAGAACATTATTTTTTTAAAAAAGAAAAAAACCCATGGTACAGTGGAGATGAGGAGATAGCTCAATCTTTAGTATAGCTTGCTGTTATTCAAACATAAAGATCTGACTCCATTACTCAGCATTCATGTAAAAATAGCCAGTGATAACTGCAGGGCTCGCCGACGGGGGTCAGGTGCCTGCTTTCCGCCCCTTGCGCGGCGCCTCCACTTTGACCTTGCTTGGGGCATGTAGGGAAGACCTGTGAGGCCGCGCAGGTGGACTAAGCCACAGTGTCCGCATTGCGGTCTCCCCAACTACTCTGCTACTGTAGCCTGTGGTGGATACGTGGAGACACTGCAGAACAGGTTTCTGTACTGTCAGGAGAACGTGCACTTCCCTGGGCGCTCGGATTTGGGACCAGCCTCTCTTCCGCTAGCATTATTTTATTTATTTATTTATTTATTTATTTATTTATTTATTTATTTATTTATTTATTGAGACCCTTTTCGGAGTGGGTTTGCTCTCAAGGCCATTTTGGCGGTGAAATATTAACACGTTCTCAATGGCCGAGGTGCATGGCCACAGGGAAGTGGTTTCAGGCGCTTTCTGCTAGTGCTATAGGTGAGGCGTGGGGGCAGCCTTGTTAACTTGGCCCTAGGTGTTGATAGTGAAGCTGCAGGGCCTTGTATGGCCCAGGTTGACAGAAATGCTTCGACTACCCACACTCCTTCTCCAGATGAGACCAGTGTCCTGGGCCCTGGTTCCTCTCACTTGGGCTTATGCCAACGACGTCAAATTTGGTGCAGATGCCGGAGCCTTAATGCTTCAAGGTGTAGACCTTTTAGCTGATGCAGTAGCAGTTACAATGGGGCCAAAGGGAAGAACGGCTATTATTGAACAGAGGTGGGGAAGTCCCAAAGTAACAAAAGATGGTGTGACTATTGCAAAGTCAATTGACTTAAAAGATAAATATAAAAATATTGGAGCTAAACTTGTTCAAGATGTTGCCTACAGTAACACCAATGAAGACACTGGGTATGGCACCACCACTGCTACTGTTCTGGCACGATCTATGGCCAAGGAGGGCTTTGAAAAGATCAGCAAAGGTGCTAATCCAGTGGAAATCAGGAGAGGTGTGATGTTGGCTGTTGATGCTGTAATTGCAGTCTAAACCTGTTATAACTCCTGAAGAAATTGCTCAGGTTGCTACAATTTCTGCAAATGGAGACAAAGATATTGGAAACATCATTTCTGATGCAATGAAAAAGGTTGGAAGAAAGGGTGTCATCACAGTAAAGGATGGGAAAACACTGAATGATGAATTAGAAATTAGTGAAGGCATGAAGTTTGATTGAGGATACATTTCCCCATATTTTATTAACACATCAAAAGGTCAAAAATGTGAGTTCCAAGATGCCTATGTTTTGCTGAGTGAAATTTCTAGTGTCCAGTCTAGTGTTCCTGCTCTTGAAATTGCCAATGCTCGCCAGAAGCCATTTGTCATAATTGCTGAAGATGTTGATGGAGAAGCTCTAAGTACACTGGTTTTGTAACAGGCTAAATGTTGGCCTTCAGGTGGTAGCAGTCAAAGCTCCAGGGTTTGGGGACAATAGGAAGAACCAGCTAAAAGATATGGCTATTGCTACTGGTGGTGCAGTACTTGGAGAAGAGGGATTGAATCTAAACCCTGAAGATGTTCAAGCTCATGACTTAGGAAAAGTTGGAGAGGTCATTGTCACCAAAGATGATGCCATGCTTTTGAAAGGAAAAGGTGACAAAGCTCAAATTGAAAAACGTATTCAAGAAATCACTGAGCAGTTAGAGATCACAAGTAGTGAATATGAAAAGGAAAAACTGAATGAATGACTGACAGAGCTACCAGATGGAGTAGCTGTCCTGAAGGCTGGAGGGACAAGTGATGTTGAAGTGAATGAGAAGAAAGACAGAGTGACAGATGCCCTCAATGCTACCAGAGCAGCTGTTGAAGAAGGCATTGTTCTAGGAGGGGGTTGTGCTCTGCTTCGTTGCATCCCAGCCTTGGACTTAATAAAGCCTGCCAATGAAGATCAGATAGAAATTATTAAAAGAGCACTGAAAATTCCTGCAATGACTTTTGCTAAGAATGCAGGTGTTGAAAGCTCTTTGATAGTTGAGAAAATTATGCAAAGTTCCTCAGAAGTTGGTTATGATGCTATGCTTGGAGATTTTGTGAATATGGTAGAAAAGGGAATCATTGATTCAACAAAGGCTCTAAGGACTGCTTTACTGGATGCTGCTGGGGTGGCCTCTCTGTTAACTACAGCAGAAGCTGTCATCACAGAAATTCCTAAAGAAGAGAAGGACCCTGGAATGGGTGCCATGGGTGGAATGGGAGGTGGTATGGGAGGTGGAATGTTCTAATTCCTAGAATAGTGCTTTTCCCTTATCAGTGAACTCAAGGCAGGGCTCCTCACCAATAACTTCAGAGAAGTCAGTTGAAGAAAGTGACTGAAGAAAGGCTGCCTGATGGCTGATGTTTAAGAAAATCACTATAACCATCAGTTACTGGTTTCAGTTGACAATATATATAATGGTTTACTGCTGTCATTGTCCATGCCTACAGATAATTTATTCTGTATTTTTGAATAAAGACATTTGTACATTCCTGATACTGGATGCACAAGCCATGAAAAAAAAAAAAAAGGCCAGTGATGTATACATATAATCTCCGTGGGAGGTGAGTGAAATGGCAGGAGGAGATGGGGACCATGGGGTTCAGTGGCCAGCCAGTCTAGTCAGTTCAGTGAGACTCTGTCAAAACTATGGTAGAAAATAACAGAAGACACCCAATGTCAACCTCTGGTCTTTCCCATGTATAGGCATACAAACATACAAATGTGGTACATACACACAATGGAATAATACCATTTAGCTTAAAAAGAAGCATTTTAACAATAAGGATGAAACCAAAGACTATTATGCAAAGTGAAAGAAACCCAATACAGGAAGACAGTACATCGTCTATGTAGAATCTACAAATGTGAATCTCATACAAGTTGGGAGTAGAATGGTGATTATCAGAGGCTGGAGAGACGTGTGGGGAGGATGAACAGAGAGAAACTGAGCAAAGGAGGAAGGCTATTATTACAAGGTAGGGTAACTACAGATATTATATGCTATACTCCAAAAAAACAAGAAGAAAGGATTTTGAACATCTTCACCATTAAGAACTGATGACTACTCGAGGAGATAGATGTACTTATCCCTGATTTGATCATTATATAGTTTATGTATTTATCAAACTTCCTAGCAATGTATCTTGTAAAAAAACGAATTTAAAAATCATAGAATTCCAGAAAACTGATGAAGTTTGTTTCTGTCTTTGAGACTGGGTCTGATGCTGACCTTGAACTTGTTGTGTAGCCAAAGAAGACCTTGAACTTTTGGCTCTCCTGTGTCCACCTCCCAGGTGCTGAGATTACAGATGTGTATGAACTAATGCCCAGATTTATGCAGTTACTGGGGATCAAATCTAGTAGGGTTTCATGCATGCTAGGCTGGCACTCTACCAGCTGAGCTATGTCCCCTAGATCTCTGATGAAGCTTTTTGAAATTATTCTGGATGGTTAGCAAGTTCCGGTAGAAGAAATGGAGGCCAATTTATGAGAGCTAATGTGATGAAAGCAGAAGTGCATCATCTCAAACTACTTAAGCAAGTATCCATCTTGACTACAGACCAAAGCTAACGCAAAATAAAATGATTTATATCTTAATAAACCTATTCAATAAATGATTTTATAAAACCATGTTAGGAAGTAAAAGACTAGTTCTCTGACTCTAGTTCTGACGCTGCTTCGTTACGTGATAATCAGCCATTTACTTAATGGTTCAGAGGCTCTTTCAGAAACTTTTTTTTGGGGGTTATGCTGAGGATTGAACCCAATACATGCTATGGAAGTGCTCTACCAGTGAGTATATCCCTTGTTTATAGGGCTCTTTGAGTCTGACCGCTATTGTACTTTCCCAGATGTCTCTCAGACTACTCATCCTCATAGCTTTCATGGTTTCAGCTTCATTGGACTACTGGCCATTCCTAGAAAGAGCCTACAGTTGGCTCACATTTTTTCCTATTTTCCTCCTTTTATGCCTAAAAAGAAGTATTAATTCATCATGGTCTGCATCAAATGTGTGGAGTCTTTTCTCACATTGCCAAGTTGAATTAATCATTCTCGCTTGTGATTATATTGTTAGTAAAAGTAGCAACCTGATAAATGACTCTTTTCCTCATGGTTTCAAAAATTTATTATCTATTATGTGCCAAATATTGCCTAGAAATGTTATGTGTATGTGTGTGGTGTCTACAGAAATTAAGACTATCAAAACTGCTGTCCTTAGAAAGGCTTGATTATTCCCAGCACTGAGGCAGAGAGAGGCAGGTGGATCTCTGTGAATTCAAAGTCAGCCTGGTCTACATAGTGAGTTCCAGGACAGCTGGGGCTACAGGGAGACCCTGTCTCAAAAAAAAAAAAAAAAAAAAAAGAGGTTTGATTATGAAGTTTACCCTTGGCATTTGGGAATATAGATTTAGGAAGGGCTCACTGTGCAGATATTATGCTGAATATCTGCTTTCCTTCCGAAGTCTAGAATTTTGGTATGCCCTCTCTAATGAGGTTCCACATTTGCTGTTACAATTTATTGTTGGAGGAATTCAATACACCTTGTGTGTCTGCACACACTCTCTGAGATCTATACCACATGCACTTTGCCCCTATTGCTGACAACTGTGTAATAAATCACAGCATTCTATATAATAAATCATCAGCATTATATGCTCAGTCCCATGAGTTTTCCTAATAATTTACTGAAACGGGGTGGTCTTGAGATCCCTGACACACCTGTGTATTATTTCACCCAATTTATACAACCTCTCTATAAGAAGGAGATTCCATTTATGTGTTAGAAAACAGGATCATAAAGCTGCAGTGACCTGGATAAGGATATACATCAAATGTTAGCATGTGAACATCTTTTTGCTTCCAGTTTCATGAGGGAAGGGAAACTACATACTAAAAATTCACAATAAATAGCAGCTTTCAAGTTAAATACTCTAATTATTTCAAGTTAAAAAAAATTCAGAGTATCAGAGGTACAAGTATTTGGAATAGTATATACAATTCTTTAATAAAAGAACAGTAAATTCTATGTAGATTATTTCTCATGTGAACCAATTCCCTATTTTCTCTTTTCTTTATTTTCTTTCTTTTTCGTTTTTTGAGACAGGGTCTCACTGTGTAGCCCTGGCTAGCCCCTGGAACTGGTTATATAGACCATGCTGGCCTTGAACTCACAGAGACCTGACTGCCTCTGCTTCCCAAACGCTGGGATTAAAGGCATGTGCCACCATGCTGGGATTATTATTATTATTTTTTTTCAATAGTTCCTTAAAGCCTTTATATCAAACTGTAGTATTGGACATTCTTAATTTGAAGATCTTTATGCAACATGTCTCAATTACCTTTTAGTAAAATCCTTAAAGCAAAGTCGCAGCTTGTTATGATGTCTGAAGAGCTTGGGATCACTGGGTATTTCAGACAGGAAAACCTGGGCAACTTCCAGAGGCCCCTGAAAAACAAAGTAAAAAAGGTAGTATTTTTGTTTTTCTAAAATGATAGAGATAGAATCTGTCCAAATGACTGTGGCACTGATACGGTTGCATTTAAGTCTAATGTCTGCCTAGTCCTATACTAGGACTCTCCAGAGATAGACTTTCAGAATTTCTTAATTTCACATCCACATTCTTGCCTTCTGCAATCAAACTCCTCAAAAAAATTTTTTTTGATTTATTTATTTTATGTGTATGAGTGTTTTGCCTGCATGTATATAGGTGTACCACCTGCATGCAATGCCCATGGAGGCCATAACAGGGTGTTGGATCCCCCTGGAACTGGAATTAGCCACCATGTGGGTGCTGGGGATTGAACCTGGGTCCTCTGTGAGAGCAGCCAGTGCTCTTAACCGCTGAGCCATCTCTCCAGCCCCTGGACTCATTTCTTATTAGCTCATTCTTCAAAGAAATGAGCAGGACCTGGAGGACTGACTATAAACATGTTCATTAATGTAGTTTGCCTTGTATTTTCTTTCTTCATTTATTCGGGATGCACAGCATTGGTTTGATGTATTAGTTTGAATTAGTATTCAAACTAATACATCAAATCCACTGATTAATTACATTTGATTTTGCTAAAACAATTTCCCTAGGCATTCCCAAGGTATTTCAGACACAGAAAACTGAAGAAAATGATCTTTTGTACATCAAATCATTTGGAGGGAAAAACTCAAAATCATAAATGTTTTAGAGGCATAAAGTTTTATTTCAGCTTTAGTATAGTATGTTTTGGTTTGCTCCTTTAATCCAAAATGTAGTTAAGACAAATTACAGAAAACCCGACTAAAGCTTTTCTGGATGTTCTTATGCCTAGGATATTTTTTAATACTGGGACCAGGCCTAAAATCATAAGCAAGACAATCTGAGCAAACAAACTACAAGAGACTATCACAATGGCATGTAACACGCAGAACACAGCAACAGTAGTATCTTATATGCAAATGTGATTACACTTTTCAGTATGATTCCACATTACTTATTTATTCCTCAGAACTCACTGTAAAGATCTGGAGAGGGTAATATCTGCAAGAATCTAAGAAAGCAGAGGTTCATATGTATTTAACAGCTCTGGAAATGACTCCTTTTTGAATGATGTACAACTTTTTTCAGGAAAAACTATTTTAAGTGACTGAATTCCTCTACTATAACATCTAATAAAACATAGAAAAACACTGGGCAGTTGAGAAAGCAGGTATGCAAATCTTCACTGAAATGATATCAAACTTCTGTTTTTAAATTTGCCTTCATTTATACCTCCATATCTTGTAATCAATCCAAGACATTCTTTTCACTTGATTTAGCATTTTATAAAATAGAAAAACATTATTCTAAGTCCAAAGTATTACTCAAATTGCATACTACCACCTAGAAGCACTAACCTGGTTCACAGTTGTACCTACAGATCCTTGGAGAACCATCTGAAGCATTTTGGGGTCTGCTGGATCCTGATGTGTTGCGAATGCCAATTCTTGTGTTTTTTTTTGCATGTCTTCAATAGCAACCTCAATTGGTGTTAAGATTATCTAAGCAAAACAGTAATGATTAAGTCAATGTACTGATTGAAAAATACTTGATGAGCTTTAAATAATAAAATCAGAAGAAATGGAGATCCATTATAAGGTTTTTTGTAACAAAATTTCATACCTGGGTTTCTTAAATTTATAAAAATAAAAAATCTAAGCCGGGTGTGGTGGTGCACGCCTGTAGTCCCAGCACTTGGGAAGCAGAGGCAGGAGGATCTCTGTGAGTTCAAGGCCAGCCTGGTCTACATAGAGAGTTCCAGGACAGCTGGGGCTACAGGGAGACTCTGCTTCAAAAAAAAGAAGTATTTGGAGCTGGGAAGATGGTCAATAAATGCTTTTTAAAGCATAAACTGAGAGTGAATTAGGGACTTAAAGTAGAGTCAAAAATAAAAGACTCAAAAATGGGTAAAATTCTAGGATGTTATATATAAAGAGGATGGGACATATCTTCTGCTAAAACTGTACTGTTAATTCATGCATGGATGTACCTGTTTCACAAACTCGTTTCCTTCGTTTGTGGACTTACCTCTTCTTTCTGAGTGACGTTAACCCTTGTTTTAATATAAGGAAAAGCATGAGAAGTAGTCAGAATGGTCTTTCGTTTAAACTGTTCATGAAGTTCCCCATGGGCACGACCATCTAAGGTGAAGGGTGTACAGTACATGAAACGGCGAAGATTATAATTTTTGTCAAAATATGTGATTCTGTCCTTCATCTCATAGGTATCAAAGAAAGGCTCCACATAGGTAATCTGAATGTATGCCTAGAAAAGGAAAAGTTCTTTATTTCCTTACTGGTAAATTGTCATTTAGTATTTGACAAGCAAAACTGCAGAAAGGGCTTCAAAGAAATGACTGTATGTCATTACAACCTAGCCAACATACCTTGTTAGGATCTAATTTACACTTGTCTACAGGATTAGAGTCCTTGATTACTTCAACCACATCCTCTCCAAATCTTTCTCCATAAAATCCCTATAATAAAGAAGAGGAACTCTTTTACATTAAGTTACTAGGATAAGTAAAATAGAGCAGGTTCTCTGAGGGAGACTCTGCAGCAAAATTGGGGAATTTAACAAGTTCTGTCATAACCATGCCAATTATAACAAAATATTAATAATTTGAGTAGATATGTGATATCATTCCATCCATGCAAATTAAATAATGTAAGGCAAAAGAAAATACTTTTCTCCAAAAAAAGCTGAGGTTTTCGTAAGGTTTTCAAGAGAAACAAAAAGGAAACAATGCAAGGACAAAACAAACTCAATAATCTTAGTTTAGAATTTGATATACGGCCTGATTTCTTACAGCCCGTGAGTCAAGAATAAGCATCTTTTAAAAAATGAATGATTTAAAGTAATATTCCAGAATTTTCAGAAGAAAATTGGCTGGCTGAAGTTTTGCACAGAGTTAGATCTTGAAAAAGCAACGCTGAGTACAGAATGGTGACTTTTCACATGACTGAGCACAGCAGCTTGGGCAATGGTTGCAGCTCTTCAGAAGAAAACAATACGTGAGGCATGGTGGTGCATCTTTAAACTAGCCACCCAAGGAGTTATTCCCATACCTCCCTCAAAGGAAATTTTATGATGGTTGAGAAGCACTGTCTCAATACTTCTAAAAACTTGCTTAATTCTTAAAAAAAGTCATAGTTTGCACTATGAAAATAGCCCCATAAAGTCACCTGTAAGAATGTAACTTCAAGAATTAACATCGTCTAAGAATAAGAACAAACCCAGAGCCTGCTTCTCACACTGTTCCATGAGAGCAACTGTAAAGAAAAGACCAGTTAACCCAATAAACATGAAACTAATCATCTATGGTGAGAAGTATCTTGAGGAGATTCTAGGAAATGTTTTCAAGGTATGGCTTCAGGCATTTCAGTTCTGAAGATGTCTCACTTGGACAATTAAATCACAGAATACTCTGAGTCACATATTTCCTGGGACTCTGCTTCCAAGCCCAATACATCCAAGCCCATTATATGCTGCTACTTAATTTCTTGTCTTTTTCTACAAGTGTGGACAAATGACAGTAATTCTGAAGGATAAAGGAGCTTTGAAATCATGTGAAAATTAAGTAACTCAAGAATACAGCTATTAATATTTTATCTTTGTAAAATACTTGAAGGATTTGAAAGAGTATTATACCATACTCCAGGGGCTAGAGAGATGGCTCAGTGATTAAGAGCACTGGCTGCTCTTCCAGAGAACATGGGTTTGGTTCCCAGCACCCACATGGCTGCTCACAACCATCCTTAACTCCAGTTCCAGGGGATCCAATACTCTGTTTGGGCCTCCATGAGTACTGCATGTATGGGTGTACTGACATACATTCAGGCAAAACACTCATACACATAAAATAAAATAAATGAATAAAAATTTAAAAATCTCTATACTACAAATAGTTTATCTGGCTTATTAAATGATTAGAACTAGATTTGAAAGCTTATTCATTACAGAAAACAGACATTTAAGATGACATTTTATGAACCACCACAGCATTCACCTCCAATCTGTGCGATATCTCTGCAAGTTTGGTTATTGCAGGCTCCTTGTAAACAAACTCCTGTTCATCCAAATCCCCGAACTTGGTTCCATAAAAACCAACACGAAAATAGGTGCCAAACATCCGCTTACCATCCTAGGTTTAGGAAAATGAGAAACTTTAATATAAAGACTTAAAAAAATATTATGCTTAGATTGCAATAGGGTAAAAATTTCAAAACATTGCAAAAGTTAATTAAAAAATTATGTTTATTTTCAAATGGAGGTGAAATAATTCTAAACTTATTTCTAACAAGGATTATAAAAATTAAGGTTTTAACCAAATGAAACAAAATGGATTTTGTTTTTAAAGTCTATACAGTTAGGATATATTAGTTCATTTTCCTTAGCTAAGTTAGGATATATTAACTTATTTTCCTTAAGGTATCATGAACTGTCTTAATTGCCCTAATATAAAAGTAAAATCAAAATTAAATTTAAAAATAGCGTTAACTTATTTTCAATTTAACATTATCCTTTACACAGTCTCCACACACATTAAAATGAGGGCATAGAAGTTAGGAGCCAAGGACAGCATGTGGCATAGAAGACATAATCAGTACAATATCAAGACCTCTCAGAATATTTACTAAAAATACTATAAGTATCACTCTGTTGATGAAAATTATTTATATGTGCAAGAGTAAAAATGGACTAGAAAGAAAAAAATTTATGCGTGCAAGATACAATAAAATCCTGAGATAAATTGGTTATTTTAAAGACTTCTGAAGGTACCCGCTGCATACACTAAGCACACATGGACAACAGGTACAAAGTACAGTAAGTTCACCTTAAGTCTCATACAAGCACAGTGAAAAAAAATCTAACAAATAAAGATAATATCTGGCAATTTTCCATATAATTTGTAATTCAGACAGAAAGCCATTTCAGAGGGGCTTTGTGGCAGCTCTTGTATACAAACCACACGTGAGCATTAAGTTCTTCTGAATCCTCCTTAAGCCTAAACTGCTTAATATTTACTTTTTCTATACAGGAAAGACCAAATGGTAAACAAAGTAAGCAAAAATGTGATAGGCACTTAAGAAAAATCAGAAACTTTATCTTTAATTTACCAGGTTTTTTTTCTGTTTGTTTTGCTTTGTTTTTTTTTTGGGGGGGGGTTCCCTGTAGTCCCAGCTGGCCTGGAACTCACTATGTAGATCTGGCTGGCCTCGCTCTCACAGAGATCTGCCTACCTCTGCCTCCTGAATACTGGGATGAAAGGCATGTGCCACCACACCCAGCTTAATTTATCAGTTTTATAATAAAAAAGTAGGGATAAATATAGTGATAGCCCCATATTCTTGGCCAAAGTATGTAAAAATTAAAGGAAAAATCTCTGGAGCTAAGGAAATGAGATTTCTAACTTAAAAAAACATTTTTTCAGTTACTTTATTTTGAAGTTTAACCTAATAACTTTTTTTATGGCAAATGAAATCTCTAAATGAATTAAATGAGTTCAGTGAAAATTTTTATTGGAACTAATACACATAATACATATATTGGAACTAATAGACATAATCAAGGAAGGAAGGCACCACATGGAAAATAAACAAGACATCTGAAAAAATTACTAAACTTGTGACTGTCATTTTTCAAACTCCATCACAAACATGTATCATATATACAGATATCCCCCCCTTTGAAAACACATCAGTGCTGCTGTTCTGGTTGTATTACAAGATATTTCGTTTAAATGGTATTCTCAGTCTTTAATACTGTTTGAAGACAGTAATTAGGACTTGCTTCCCTTCACTAAACTTTGTAATCCCCAGTCTTTGTATGGCAGGAATTACTCTCTTCTTTCCTTCTACTATTCCTTCTACTTTCCTATTTCTCAGTGCTGTCCTGCAAAGTGTGAATTCTAGAACAGATATGATGTTGTGATATGACCAGACAGAGACGTGTCATGAGTTTACCACCTTATCAGTTCTGGACTTTGGATTTGATCAAAACTCAACACTTCTTTTCATTATTGACATTGTTAGGTTAGCTATTATTCATTCAGTAATAGGAAAATAAAAATAAGACTTGTGCCTCCAGAGAAAAAAAGTATGAATTCAGACAGGCATGGTGGCACACACCTTTGATCCTAGCACTAGGGAGGCACAGGCAGGAGGATCTCCATGAGTTTGAGGCCAGCCTGGTCTACATAGCAAGTTGCAGGACAGCAGGGGCTCCAGGGAGACCCTGTCTCAAAAAGACCACACACAAAAAAGAAGGTATGAATTCAAATAATTACAATATAAATCAATATGCACTATAAGAAGTAGTATCAAGCTTATAGAAAGATTAATCTTATTAGAGCCAAATCATAACTTAATTACAGTTCTTGTCATCCAGAGTGTTCAACACTAAAAAAAAAAAAAAAGAGGACGAGTGAATAAAGGAAAGAGAAGGAGACATCCTAGTAGATAGAGAAGGTAAAAAAGATAGTCATAGAATGTATGTGAAGGAAGCCAGTCATTTCTTTGCTCCCTCCCTCCCTCCCTCCCTCCTTCCTTGTTTCTTTGAGACAGGTTCTCACTTTGTAGCCCTTGTTGACTTGGAACTTTCTATACAGACCAGGCTCACTTAAATCTCAGAGATCCACCTGCTTCTCCTTCCTGAGTGCTGGGATTAAAGGTGTGCACCACCACAGCTGACCCCCTCATTCATTTATTCAAATATGTGATGAATGCCCATGATGTGTCAGATATTTGTGATACACGAGTTCACAAAAGAAACCAAGGAAGGAGGATAAGTTTCATCAAGAAGGTGACATCTGAGGAAAGATGTGCAAGTTCTTCACATTAATATTTGGAGGAAATATATTTCACTCAGAGGAGGAGCCCATGCAAAGGCTCTGAGGCAAGAGCCTACTTAGTGTGCTTGAGGAACAGGAAGGTGAACAATATGGCTGCAGAGGAAATAAAGGGAAGAGTAGGTGGCAATAGGGCCAGAAAGTGACAAGGGGTTACAGGAGGGAGGGAGGGAGGGAGGGAGGGAGAGAAAGAGAGAGAATATACAATGGAGTGGGATAGAGCGTAGTAGGGGGTAAGGGAAGACAAGAAGAAAGGATAAGCTTTAGTCTGAATAACTACTTTCAATCTAGAGCTTCTATTATTGACCTACTGGCATTGCACAGTTAATGAAGTATAAGCATATAGCTTTAACTCCAGGAAAAACATTTCTTCAGTTTTATTTCCCTTTCACTGTTTTAGTAGCTGTTTTTGTTTTGAATTACCTTCCTACAAGCAAGCCTATATTTCTATGACATTGCCTCTTTTACAATTTAGAATTCTTTCTGAATTTTTTAGTACTGCTTCACTCCAGCTACTCATCTTCACAGCTTTACTCACCACTTTCACGGTCCTCTGGGTGATGAAACATGCCCCATGAAAGAAACACACCTCTCATGTCTCTGGTTGACATCGCTTATGACAATATATTTAAAATCTGTTCTACTTTTTTTCCCCTTTATTTAGGAAGCAGCATTCTACTGCTCTACTTGTATATTTCCACAATGACACCATTTCTGTAACTTAAAAAAATTCTCATCTAGCTGGGCATGGTGGTGCATGCCTTTAGTCCCAGCACTTGTGAGGCAGAGGCAGACGGATCCCTGTAAGTTCAAGGCCAGCCTGGTCTATATAATGAGTTCCAGGACAGCTGGGGCTACAGGGAGACCTTGACTCAAAAACAACAACAACAACAACAACAACAACAAAATCCTCATCCACTTGTTTTCCACTCTGCTTCCTTTATACTGATTTCCACATAGGCATATTAGAAATTTACACAGTCGTCCTCTCCGTCCCTTCTGTTAGATTTATTCCTTTTATCATTTACCAGGACCATCTAGCCATAGATCTCAACTTGAGAATATATACACACCGAATGTTTTATTAACCTAAACTGTTTTTAAAATTGGGGACTGGGGATGATGAAAGGGATTGAACCCAGGGCCTTTCATAGGCAAGCACTCTACCAATGAATTATGTCTTAACCCTTTCTGTTTTCTATTTTGAGACAAAGTCTTGCTAAATTTTCCAGGCTGGCCTTGAAACTTGCAATCTTCTTGCCTCCTCCAGAATCCCTGGGATTACAGAAGTGTGCCATCATACCTGGCCTAGTAACCTAACTCTTAGACAAGATTTCAAGTAATTAGGGATAGGGGATTAGCTCAGTAGTACAGCTCTTGCCTAGAATGCATGAGCTCTCCAAGTTCAATCCCCCACCATATTAAAACAACAGCAACACTTCAAGTTAACAGTAAAGATAATGTTAATGATATCAAAAAGTAATCTCCTGACATTTTTATTTTGAGATAGGGTCTCCCCCAGGTTGGGGAACTAGCCTGGAAGTCTTATGTAGCTCAGACTGGGCTTGCAACCTTCCTGCCTCAGTCTCCTGGGTACTGCGATTACGATTACCATGCCTGCTGAGCAATTCATTGCTTTATCTTCTGTGTTACAACACCATTCTCTACCATAAGTATTTTTGCATTTTGCAATCTTTCCTGTATACTCCAGGATAAAAATCAAGTGGTGGTTTACCAAGCATATTCTTCTAAGATAGAGCCTAACCCACTTCGTATCAGAAGTTCAATTCTCGTCAACTTCCTTATTCAGAAAAAAATATGTCATCTTTAGTATCATCTACAGAGTCAATGTTTGTTATCTATGTGGTTTTCTCCCCAGAAGCAGCCCAGGAAGCAGAACAAAGTGGTATGATGTATCTCATTAGGTGGTCTATTATCAGGGAGGCACCAACTCCACAATACTTCTTTCAGAGGCAAGGCTCTTCCCATTCACCATTTCCCTTAACCTCTTAGCACAGCTAACACCATGTTCCTGAAGTAAAGATTCATGCATGCTTTATATCTACATTTCTTCCTGTAAAATGTCACATTTTCCCATTCAGCCATGTAAAGGTACCTTTATGCTCCATCCTCTTTAATTAAAAAAAAAAATCCAACAACCCTTTCAGTATTCATTCCCCTTCCCTCATTGTAATTTAGCTGTTTCTAATGCTGTGTTCATTTTTATTTACTTGAGTTATGGCATTTAACTCAACAGCAGTGTAGAAACCAGAACTGTGCCAATTGCACACAAAAACCAAAAATATAAGTTTATGTTCAGCCAATATAATAATGAGTTAAGACACATTATTTTACATGCTACATTCTCAAAAACTGGAATATACATTTCCTTAGTAATTCAGTGGAGTTTAGCTAATGAAGCTAACTTCATCTTCTCTAGCCTTTCTGGAAACTGAAAGATAGATGTAATAGGGTATGGTAGTCTCTTTAAAGAAGGAAGTTGCAATCTCTTTTGAAAGAAAAATAAAATATTTGACTATGCTGTCAATATTTGAAGATAGATTTTTAAAAATATAAACTTGTATTGGTGTACTTCTGAATAAAAACTGATCACTATTTGACAAAGGAACAAATACATGTTTTGCAAATAAATGGATGCACACAAAATGTGAAATGGTGGTAAAATTTTAGTATAGAAATATTTTCTTTTAAAAATAAAGTACACCACAGAAAATGATTTACTTCCTATTATTTTAAGAATAAAAGAGCTTTGGGAAAAACAAAAATAAAAGTGAACAGCAAATAGCCATTAAGGAACAGAGAGTGGCAGAGGAGGTAAACATGGCAGGGGCCTGGGAGTTTCAAGACTTCACATGCAAATACTTAGCAAATTGCTAAACAAATTTTAGAATTTTCTTTAAACACCCCCCCACACACATACACACACAGTCCAAAAAGCTTTCCAAGTCAAATAAACTTCACCAAATCAAGAACAGAATGTAAAATGAAAAACATTAATAATATATAAGCCCTCAAGGGCTTTTCTCTTAAGTAATTCAGAGTCTTTCTACAATATATAAATTATCCTTACTAAGTAGCAATCCAATGAAAGTTCTTTTAGAAAACTAAGAAACTAGCTAAGAAACAGTTTTTAGAAAAAAATGAAACTACTGAAGTTTTCAGAGTCAAAAAGAAAAATATTCACAAGGTAGCAACTTACCACAACAGATAATAGTAAAGGTAGGGAGTAGGGTCAGCAACCAGGGGCAAGAGAGAAGAGAAAACAGAAAGCATTTTAATTAGGGAAATCTCAAAACATTTAAGCAGCAAATGGTAGCAAACACATCTTTAAAATGCAAGCATTCATTTAAGTTTTACAAGGGATAGCAAAAAACAAACGTGCAACAAATTTAGATTCTACAAAGCTGAAGATCCAGTAAAGGCAGTGACAAGAATATAAATGAGGAAATAAGGTCCGTGCGACTTTTACCATGCAGTAAACATGAGGAAAGGATGGTATTAATGTCATAACCAGTGGAAAGCATACTTTTCAGGGGTCGATTTAGCATCAAGCAAACTAGAAATAAACTGCTCAGAGGTTTCGATATATTCTTTATTTTATGTGTACTTTGCAGCTAATTCTATCTCATGTTAGAAGACCCATAAAAAGGCTCTTTACATACGTCTGGATGGAGCCACAGAAATAAGGGATTCTATTTTAAGTGTTAATAAGTACATCACATTTAATTTGGAGAATTAAGGCAGATGTAAAAGTGCTGGCTCATCTAAAGACAAGCAAAGGGCAGGTGCTACTTCAGAAATGGAATAAACCCAGTAGTAACCTTTGTCTTTAAGGTTTTCTATTTGGGTTTGCAAACAAGGACTACCATGAGGAACCAAAGAGCAGACAACTTTATACCCTAGCCCTAAACAGATCCGATTTACTATTACTAACTTTATTTCACTGAAATAAATTAGAGCATAATTTATAGAATTCTCTTCTTTAAAAAAAGATGAAAAATTATTGTAATCAATTCTTCCTAGTAATTTTCACATAAGATTTCATTTATATTTAACTTTTCACAAACTTAACTACTACATAAAAGGAAGCATATATAGTCTTCTTTATATGCTGATAAATTAAAACACTATCAGAATATGAAGTCAAATTAAATGTCAAGTTTTCTCAATTTATCTTACTCCCTCAACTAAATTTAAGTAACCAAATGAATTTCTTTTTTGGTGGGGATATATACAAACTGAAGTGACTCTGAGTCAAGATCAAATGAAACAATATTTCATAAATTCTAACATGCCTATTTTCTGCCTACATTTTAGTGTTTCTGTAGTTGGTATTCATCTTTCAATTGACAGGATGTCCCAGTTTAATACACAAGTAATTTATTTTTTAACGATATAGAAAGTAGTATGATGGCATGAGTCAAAATACAATATTTTCTATTTACACCTCTGAGCAATAACATATAAATCGACCTCTGTTAAATGAAGTGAAACAATATGGTTAAAAAAAATCTGTGTGTAAATGTTGATGAAAGAAATGCTTCAAAGGATAAAAACAAACTGAAGTGATGTCATAGTGGCTCATTTACCAAAGAATCTCATTAGTGTAACAGACTTCCATGCACTGCCTATAACCTCTAAATCGTAAATTTCTTACAATAACTTACAATATTTTAACAAAATTTCTTTGGTTAATGAATTCAGTTGATAGCAGACAGCAACAGAATGCCCATAGCTAGCACATATGGGCAAAGCATTGGCATAAGAAATCTGATCAAATCCATCTATTAGTGTCTTTAACTAACCAAAACAGTACCTACCTCCCAGCCAGTACTCTGTATAATAAAAGTAAAAAAAAAAAAAAAAAAAAAAAAAAAGTGATAATGATGAAAAAAAAAAAAGAAAAAAAAGGGAAAAGCATAAAAAAAAAACTATTCAAAAGAACAAAAAGGTCAGAGGAAGTTCAGATATAAGGTACTGTATACCATAATTTTTTCTCCAGAGTATGACAAGATATTTAAAACAGTAAATATTGCCTGTAGTCATTTTTATAAAATATTTTTCAAAACCGAATATCTAAATTTTTATCTTTGAAAAGCTATGTTTTAAAAGTGAAAGCATTTTTTAAGTCAAAGTACAAAGAACAAAAAGGTCAGAGGAAGTTCAGATATAAGGTACTGTATACCATAATTTTTTCTCCAGAGTATGACAAGATATTTAAAACAGTAAATATTGCCTGTAGTCATTTTTATAAAATATTTTTCAAAACCGAATATCTAAATTTTTATCTTTGAAAAGCTATGTTTTAAAAGTGAAAGCATTTTTTAAGTCAAAGTACAAATTTTAGGGAAAAGAGAACCAGCCACCTGCTCCATGAATTTAAATTAGATCTCTAACTGTAGTGAGCTTCATGCCACTGAAATAACCAGGTTAAACAGGAACACACATTGTAATTTTGTTCAAATGTCAATAATACAAATGGATGAAAATTTCTTGGCAACTGACTTGTATAATCTGCAACTTAAAGCTCAGGAAGCCAGGATGAAATTCCTTTCAAAGTACATGTATAATTGACTATAAAATGACATACCTGTTATGATCACAAAACCTAATCAGTCTTTTGCAACTTCAATATTTTAGTAGATGACAAGAGAATTCTGGCTTAACAGGAGCAGCCCTATTTTATTTTCAGATTGTGTCAATTCACCTACAATTGCTTGGCCATGATAAGAAAAAGGTCAAGCTGGAAGACATAAAGCACCACTAGTACTGAATACAGGAGTGGATAATCACTATTCTCCCTCCTTCATAGAGTGTGCCAGCAACAGGTAACAGCATGGGTAACTCAGGAAAGGGAAAAGAAACGCAGAAGAGGAGGAGGCTCAACAGGAGCATTTTAATAGAGCCAAGGATTTACTTTCAAGGCAGTTCACTGTGAACTGTCTACTTCACTTAAAAACAAAACAAAACGTAAAAAAAAAGTTTATTTTTATTTTATGTGTATGAGTGTTTTGCTTGCATGTATGTAAGTGCACCTGTGTTGTGCAATGCCTGTGGAGGCCAGAAAAGGGCACTGGATCCCCTGGAACTGGAGTTAAGGATGGTTGTTGTTATGTGGGTACTGGGATTCAAAACCAGGTCCTCTGCAAGAGCAGCCAGCACTCTTAACCTAAGGTGAGCCAGCTCTCCAGCCCCACTTCACTTTTTTAAACTAGCTTCAATTTTATTCTAATTTTGGTGATAATGTGGACTGCATAGTGAAGTGTAAAATATTGAAATTATACTATAATTAAGTTACACAACACACTTGTATTATTCATTATTTTCACACTAGAAATATATCAAAGGTAACCAACAAGCATGTTGGAAAACTAAAGTTTGGGTGCAGTCATTTACTAGGATTTTATTAAAGTTTCATATCACTTAAAAAATTAATTTATGTTAAAAAATTTTGGCAGCAGAGGAACAGATGTTAATTTAAAAATCAGACACATATAATCATAACTTACATTGTAAAACAGAAAGGAAGGTGTAATTTCAAAGCATTGTTAAATAGTGACAATTCAAAAATATGCAAAAAGAAAAACTGTCTGGAAAGTTTATAATGGTCATAACCACTTTAGGTAAATTTATTCTTACAAAAAAAAAAAAAGTCTCGTTTTTGCCATGATACATCTTTTCATCTGCTCATTTATCACCTGGATAAAATGATCATTTCATGGGAACTAGTCTAACACAAGTATGAAGCAAATTAAGGTTTTTAGACCTTTTTCTCCACTTATACTAAAGCTAGAAATTGGAATTATTACCTGATGAACAATTTTGCTGAATGCTTCTTGAAGTTTACCATGGATTGTGGAGAGTTTCTTTGCATCCCGATTAGCTTCATGAATAGGAATAAGTATTTTATAAACCTCATTAACTGCTTCATACATGCCAGCCTATAAAAAGAATTTTTGTGAGGTATTGCTTTCTTTTACGATCAATGAAAAATAATTACAATTTGTAAATTCACAGAATTTCTATTAATATAACACCACCGTAGCTTTTCCAATAAATCATTTTAAAAACACCAATTTTTAACTGTATTAATGCTTAACAAAAGAATTTTATTCAAGGGCACTGAACTCACATGCACCCCCCCCAAGTAATTAAAGATAACATATTTACACACATGCATATTTATATTACTATATAATTTAAACTGGACATCCTACTCTTGCCTAGCTTATGACTTCATTAGGTAAGTGTGTGTGTGTGTGTGTGTGTGTGTGTACACTTAGGCATATAAACTCAGAAACTAATTCTGAGCAGAGGAAGAAACCCAATGCTCTCATCATCAGATAATCTGTGGCCTTTGGAGAAACCTAAATCATTTACTTTTCCAAAATAATAAGGACACAGGTAATTGTTTATAGGAAATTCATAGAAAAGTCTTCAAATATTTTGATCTTTAACAAAACAGGAAGTCTGAGCCACTACATTTTCTTCCATTGGGATCTAGTTGGCCAGTGGTTGGCCAATGGTTACTCTGGTTATAATCAAAGTGAGTGAGTATACTGCTGTTACATTCTTAATCTTTAATAATACACTTGTCACTGTACTAAGAGGAGAAAGAGATGCTTTCCAAATGCCATCAAGTTCTCGTTGTTTAAGATCAATACATCTATTTTCCTAAGAAAATAAAAACTGTGATTCTTATATTTTCTCATCAGTTCCTAGGAATATCTTTAAACAATAATATAGCTATAATAGTGAAATATATTTAGTGTAAGTAAAATATCCTAGTAATTATTTTAATTAAATTTAAATTAAAAAGAATTAAATTAATGTTTACAAAATACATAATTATAAACTGGGTGTTGTAGCGCATGCCTTTAATGCCAGAACAGGGGAGGCAGAAGCAGGTGGATCTCTTTGAGTTCAAGGACAGCCTGGTCTACAATCTAAGCCAGCTGGAGCTACAGGGAAACCCTGTCTCAAGAAGACAAAAAAACAAAACAAAATACATAATTATGCATAGACAGTATACATAATTACATATTAAAAGAATGAAATTATGTATAAGCAAAAGTTTCTGTAAAACAGACCTCTAGTCCATAATCTAAATGTACCACTGTGAATTACTGAAATTACATACATATATAGACATATAGCTATATTTATTAAACTATCAATAGCAAAAAGACCAAACCAAAACAAAACAAACCTCTTTTCCCTTACTGGTTCAGTAAAGGGGTGGTCAAAGTTCTTAGCAATAACACATTTTATAAAGGACTGGATATTTCTCCCCACCCCCTCAAGTTCATGTCAGACAGGTAATGTGCCTGTGTGTAACAAGGTTTGAGGGCAGCACATGTCACGCATGTGTGTGAACACCCAATCATCAAGCTTATGAACCACAAAAGGATCAGGACTGGATATTTTAAGTCTGGAAAAATACTCTTAAAATTAAGCCTGAAAGCTGGGCATGGTGGTGCACGCCTTTAATCCCAGCACCTGGGAGGCAGAGGCAGGCGGATCTCTGTGAGTTCAAGGCCAGCCTGGTCTACATAGTGGGTTCCAGGACAGCTGAGGCTACAGGGAGACCCTGCCTTTTAAAAAAAAAAAAAAAAAAAAAAAAGCCTGAAAAATCACTATATTTAAATAGAGGTTGTAAGGGTCAATAAATAAAAATAAAGGTGACAATAATGTCAAGCACACTAATACAGTGTAATAAGCACTCTACATATTGATCCCATAAGGTACATATTATTATTAGATATATTTAACTGGTAAGAAAACTGAAACACCAATAGATTGAACAATTAGTACCTGAAGAAATACAATTACTAAATAGCAGAGCTAGGATTGAACTGACAATAAGCTTTCTAAATCTGTGCACTTGGCCAATATATTGCAAGACAGGGGTAAGGCCTAGAGAAGAAAAAACTTAATTCTCAATGGGGAAGAACAGCAGCATAGTATATTACCATAAGCTTTGCTCTTACCTTTTCATGAGCCTTAGTAGCTCCTAAATTTTGGTGTTGGGACACTAAATGTTAAGCAGAAAAATCAAGGAAAGTAGGCAACTCTATGGTAAGGAAGTATCTAGCTATCTTCCTTTTCCTGTAAACATCTCATCTGGGGTCTACCTGACTGCTTCAATTCTTCACACATAGGTGGAAGGGAATAAAGGCTGGTGTCATACATTGGTAGTTAGTCAGACAAGGGTTCTAGGATGTACTCAATAAAATTCCTGACAGTTAAGAGCAGGCATCTGAAATCTACGTTGTAAAGGATCACTACACAAGCAATGGTATGGGTGGCTATAACTTTCTGGTTACCAGTGCATTGCTCAACATATTGGAAAAATGTCTATAATTCACCTGGCAGATGAACTCTATAAAGCTACATTAGCCTACTCAAACAGAACTTATATATTGCTCAGAGAAGTTTTATTTTGTTCTTTTTAAAATTTAAAGGTTTTAGAAAATATTTTGTGGTAAAATTTTACAAACTAAGCCAACTGACCAACTGACTGACCAACCAATCAGCCAACCAAACCACATACTGTAGACTACCTGCTAATTCACCGGGGGAAATAACAGATACAAATGAGCAAGCAATGTACATGTCATTGGTAATTCAGAGGGCAACTGTGGGAAGATAATGAACAGCGTTACCTACCATAGAGAAAGAAGCAGCTGCTTGTTCCAGTAATCCCACCAGTCCTGATTCAGTAAAGTACTTCCCAGAGCAGATACCTTCTTCATCTGGAGATACTACATCATCTGAGACTGCAGATTCTTCTAAAACATTAGATGAAATATTCTAGATAAAAAATATTTAAAAAGTTTTTGTAATGGAATTAACATCCTCAATAAAAAATATATATGAAGTAATTGAGGGCTAAATTGATTAAGTTAAAGAAAAGGAGAAGCTAGGGCTATAGTTTAAAGTAGAGCATATGCTCAGCCACATGTGAGGATTCAATTCCCTGTGTGTTTTGTATGTGTACACAAAACATGAAAGACAAATTTCTAAAAACATTCTCTATTTTGATATGACAATAAAATTGTAAAACTACTTCTAGATAACTTTTCTCCCAATAATGATTTGTAGAAAAGTCCTCTATCTCCACACATATGCCACTGGCACACATGGGAACAGACACACTCTACTCAGTTTTTTTTCAAGTTGTGGGAAAGAAAATTAAGAAAAATCATGGACTAAGTACTAATATGACACAGACCATCTAAAGGAGACATTCTGATCAGTTTATCCTCTCAAAATTTACTGTAAAGGAAGGTATAACATACGATCTTTTAGTTTGCTTCATAGGCACTGAGTTATTGAGGAATAGCAAGCACACTAAAAGTCCTTTTAGTCAATGAGATTGAGTTCAGCCAGCCAACATAAAAAAAGAAATGGCACATCAAGTTCCATGTAATCTCTCTTAAGTAAATACCCTTAATACAACCTTTTCTTTCTTTCAGCTTCGGTTTCCTTAAAATAGAATGTAAACTTGAAGTCAGAAGATTATCAAATTATGGATATGATGATTTTTCCTCTATCTTTTATATTACCTGGTCCAAAATTAACTCAATAGCATTTTTTTTTGAGATTTGCCTCTACTGTTTTATTCAACTTAGTTTTCAGAAAATTATCTATTTATATTCTGATATCATCAGAAGATAGAATATTTAATTAAGTTTTATTATATTCAAAATCTGCCTTAACAAGTTTTGAAGAAAAGCAAAGATTTCAACTAGAAAGTCAGAGGTTATGTATCTCTACTATATGGTTGCATACTACCATCTGTGAGCCATGATATCAATATCGCTTGTATACAGGGAATGAAGAGTGTTGACTTTATCTAGTGTATTAAGTAAAAGCGACTTAGAGAGTTTTGACTGAGGGGCTGGAGAGATGGCTCAGTGGTTAAGAGCACTAGCTGGTCTTGCAGAGGACTCAGGTTTGAATCTCAGCACCCACATGGTAGCTAACAACCATCGGTAACCACAGTTCCAGGGGATCCGATGCCTACTTCTGACCTCCGTGGACACTGTACAACACAGGTGCACTATTATACATGCAGGCAATATATTCATACAGATAAAATAAAAATAATAATAAAATCTTAAAAAAAAATTTTTGGTTGAACTGTTTCCTAAACATATAGATTATAATTTGCTATGGACAGTGTGCACAATGAATAGCTGAGTGGGATAATATACATGTTAATTTGTTCCACTATAGTATCCATTTTACTACACACACACACACACACACATTACATTTTGCTGTATACCTTAAATATAAAACATTACAAGTTTTCATTACCTCACACAGTAGGCAGAGGCAGTAAGATCTCTGTGAATTCAAGGCTAGCCTGGTCTACAAAGAGAGTTCCAGGCCAGCTGGAGCTACAGGGAGACCCTGTCTCAAAAATACCAACAACAATAACAACATCATTACTTAATACCTAAATTTTTAATATTTTGAGGGTCATATATTTTCAAGATGCAAAGTCTAAATAAAAAGTAGGAAAGGGAAAGAGAAGAAATATACACAACACTGATAATTCAGAGGTAAGGAACTGTTGAAAGAGAAGAAATATTCTTTTTAAAAAATTTTTTTTGATTATTTTTATTTTATATGTATGCATGCATTTTATGTGTATGTGTGTATTGCCTGCATGTATGTAAGTGCACCCATGTCATGCAATGCCCAAGGAGGACAGAAGAGGGCACTGGATCTCCTGGAACTGGAGTTACGAACAGCTGTTAGCTAACTACCATGTGGATGCTGGAATTTGAACCCCGGTCTTCTGCAAGAGCAGCTAGTGCTCTTAACGGTTAAGCCATCTCTCCAGCCCCCAGAAGAAGTACTCTTTAACTGGGGAAATAGCTCAGAGATATCTATGCCCACCAAGCACAAGTCCTAATTTCAATCCCCCATTTTTTTTTTTAAAGCATTCTTTAATAGGGCTGGAGCGGTAGCTCAGTGGTAGAGTACTTTCCTGGAGTGTGCAAAGGGCCCAGCAGAGTAAGCAAAACAAAACAATGCAACAACCTAATGATAATGACAATGTAATGTTCATATACCCTGAAAAGCACTGAGCTAACTCTTCATGCTTTCTCCACAAACTGAAGGATTCTAAGTAACAATTAGTAAAAGTTAAAACCAAAACAGAACATACCTTGATTTCATGTACATATATATAGCAGATTCCTACCTGAAATGTAACACACCCAACAGGAAGATACTTCCGGTCCTCTAGCATGCTCAAATACTCAGCAACAAGTGCTGCTGAGTGGACTAGGCACTGAGCGGCTTCAGCATGATTGCTTCGTTCAGAGTGTTTGCCAGCCATGTTCTGCAACCAGGTCAATCGCAGGTCTGGAGAGGTCTGGTAGCCCTTGGCAATTCTAATGAAGACAGAAATGCTGCTCAGTTACCACTTGCTTCCTAAGCTGTGTGGATAGTTCAGAGAGCTGTTCAGAGTTTACCTAGACAAGTTCTTGTTATTGCACTCAACATCTTAGGACAAGCTTGTAAGTGACAAGAAAATGTCACCATGTATATATAGAGGGTAACTGTGGTACCTGAAATGGGTATTACCAGTTTGGGTGGGGACAAAAAAAGACATGCCATCTTAAAATGTGGATGAAGGAAATCACCAGTTAGGGAGAAGAACAGATTTTATCATTATTTATTATTCTTGTGTGTATGAGTGTATTATTGTGCATGTATGCCGGTGCACCTGTTGTGCAATGCTTACAGATTTCAGGAAAGGGTGTCAGATGCCCTGGAACTAGAGTTACGGACAGTTGTTACCCACCAGATGAACCTGGGTCCTCTGCAAGAGCAGCCAGTGCTCTTAACCATTGAGCTATCTCTCCAGCCCCCAAGTTCGATTTTATGTGCTCTTTATGAGAACGTAGGGAAGTCATATTTAAGGAAAAATAGAAAATATACAAGGTAGTTTCATCACACTGACTTCATTTTAAGAGAATAAAGTGATTTATTTGTTACTCTTAGGACAGGCAAAACTGAAAAGAGAGGGTAATATGGCAAAGAAAAAGTCCCAGGTTTTGCTATTGCATCTATTAGGATCCAATAGGAGGGGTTAGAGATGGTTCAGTGGCTAAGAGCATTGGCTGCTCTTGCAGAGGACCTGGGTTCAGTTCCCAGAACCCCTATTGTACCTAACAATCCCTCTGGCCTTCTTGGGCATTGCATGCACATGGTGCAATTAAATACATGCAGGTAAGATACTAATACACATTAATAAATAAGATATAATAGGAATTCAAATTTCTCAACATTTGCACCAAAAACTGTACCAGAAATAGTACCTTTAGTTATAACTGTAATTAGGACATTAATTTGAAATTAGGACAATTTATATTATGCTAAACATTCACATACTGTATATTCTTAATTTTTTTTTTACATTTAAAATGTGGGTTTTGGGCTTTTCTAGGAAGTTCAAGATTTCATTCCCAAACACTAAAAATAAAAACAAACAAACTGAATAGTTATATTTACTTTTTGAAAGCAGTAATAGGAAATTCGAGAAAGCAGCCTCAAAAGTTCACTTTGATCTTTTTTTTTTAAAGAACATTTATTTATTTGTTTATTTTTATGTGTATGAGTGTATTGCTTGCATGTATGTGAGTGCACCCGTGTCGTGCAATGCTGCAGAGGTCAGAAGAGGGCTTCGAATTCCCCTGGAACTGGAGTTAAGGATGGTTCACAGTCACCATGTGGGTGATGGGACTCAAACCAGGGTCCTCTGCAAGAGCAGTCAGTGCTCTTAAACTGCTGAGTCATCTCTCCAGCCCCCCCCCCCCCGGATCTTTTAACCTAAATTAGAAAATTACAGAGCTAGAGAGATGGCTCAGTAGTTAAAAGCACTGGCTGCTCTTACAGAGGACCCAGATTTGGTTCCCAACACCCACATGGCAGCAAACAACTGATACTGTTACTCCAATTCTGGGGATCTGATGCCCTCTTCTGACCTCTGTGGGCATTGTATGACATGGGGGCACTTATATACATGCTGGCAGAATGCTCATACACATAAAAAATTAAAGTAAACCCTAAATAAAATGAAAAGTTTAAAAAAAAGGAAAATCACTTAATTTTTTGTACTTTTCTTCTCTTTTAATGTTACCCAAAGTATCTAAGTCCATTATGCAAATAATAAGTGGATCACATATACTACCTGTACATGAGATCAATCAACATTTCAGGATCCTCTTGGTGTTCCTTCATTTTAACAGTATCAGAAAGGATCATATGGAGATTGAAAACCAGATCTTGGACCTGCAGTAGAGAATTATATGAAAATTTTCTTTGTCATTCATTCTTAAAACCTAAATGAGTTTGGGAAATATTTCAGATAAGCCTCTAAAGATTTGAAAAAAAGTTTTATCATACTGATAATATTCTAAAGAGGCCAAGTATGTGGGTGTGGTGAGGGAAAAGCAGTAAACAATATCAGTTCTTCAGCAGAATATGATTTTTTTTCATTGCTTTCAAATGGAAACAAGTAGCACTGTAAGTGAAGTATATAAACTATAGGGAGATGGGGAATGCAAGTGACAAATGGAAAATTCTCTCCTATGTTTTTGATTTTAATTATAAGTTAACTTGATGAGGGTTACAGAGCTGGCTCAGTGGTTAAGAGCATTGGCTACTCTTACAGAGGTCCCGGGTTCAGTTCTCAGCACCCACATGGTGGCTAACAACTGTCCATAACTCCAGTTCCAGGGGATCCAATACCTTCAGTGCCTCCTTCGGCACTGAAGACATGCAGGCAAAACACTCATAAAATAAGTAAAATTTAAAAAATTAGTTTGATGAAACTTTATTTCAAGGCAAATTAATATTTGAATAATAAGAATGTTTCATCACAAAGCATTGTCTACATTGCCAAAGTTTATTTTTAAACAAATGTACAAATTAGACACCAAAGATATTAACTATTTTAAAAATGAGTGACTAAGAAGATGGTTTAACTCGCCATGTAAGCATGAAGATCTGAGTTTGTCAATACCTACGTAAAAGGCAAGTGTGGTGTTTGGAGTGCATCTATAATCCTAGTAGATGGGGAGATAGAGGCAGAAGATTCATGGGTCTTGGTGGCCAGAGCCAGCCTAGTCTAACTGATAAACTCCAGGTTCAATGAGTAAACCTGCCTCAAAAATAGGATGGAAAAGCAGCTGAGGAAGATATCTGACATTGACCTCAGGCCTTGACACAGATATACACATGTGTACCTGCACATACACAAACACACATGGAAGACAGCCTAAGAAAACAGTCTGAGGTACATGACATGCAGAAAGAAATATGTAAAAGCCTCCATGAAAACCCCTATAAACAATCTTTAAATTTCTTATTCAATAATCTTACTGCAATTAATAATTTAGACAGTAGCATTTCTAACCTGATCAGGAAATGTTGTTTCCCTCAATTCCAGATCTTCTTCAGCATATGTCAATATAGTCTTTAGAGAACGTCTTAAGAATTCTTCATTAAAATTCTGAGATGTACCCACCAAGGAGGATAGTGACATTGTTACTTGCATTTTAACTCTGGCAAAGTTCTGTGAAAGGGAAATTGTCAGGTCAATATTTAACACATTTAAAATAAAACACATTTTGTTTCTTGGCTAAAGGATTAAGACAGGGCTGGGACTGTGGCTCAAGAGTAGGGTGCTTGCCCAGCTTGTATGAGGTCCTGGGTTTGATCCCAGCTGCAAACAAAGCAAAAATACATATTTGGTGAAAAATAATTCTGAATAAAAGATTTTTTAAAGTAATGAAATATGCATACTGAAATATACCCTAGTGGTGGCACATGCCTTTAATCCCAGCACTCAGGAGGCAGAGGCAGGTGGATCTCTGTGAGTTCAAGGCCAGCCTGGTCTACACAGTGAGTTCCAGGACAGCTGGGGCCACAGGGAGACCCTGTCTCAAAAAGACCAAAAA